CAGGTTAACCCGGTATCTTTATCTCTTGATCCTAAGTATACAGTATTCCTATCCACATATAAGACCAAATGGCCATTGAAATGACTATTATGGGAAAGGCTCCAAGCCTTACAGTTGCTGTGGAGATTGTTGGAATAACTCCAACTACAGATGCATTGATGCCAGGGAAGAAAAACACAAGAAGTAGAAAGTCAACGGAGACAGAAGGTTACTCAAAAGGAGGAGAGAATTGTACTGGAACGGTATTACTTTTGGTACCGCCTTGAATTTCCCCCAACGATATAGCAGTTACATGAAATTACCACCTCAGTTTTACAAAAGTGAAGTCCTAGTGAAGTTGTTAGTAATAAATGGGAAATTGATTTTAAAAAAAGGCATCCTGATGTCAAGTCATGATTCGGCAAACAGTTAGATCCCATTTGCGATATCTGAGGAAATGATATCCAATTAATGAATCATTTCTTTGATGAGGTATTTTTTTTCTTTTTTTTATTATTATTATTCTTATCTTATATTCTTATTTTTTATTATTATTAATTTAAACAAGTATTAATTATATTTTTATATAGTTAGAAATGATTGTCCATGAGTATAGTATAAAACCTCAGAATATATATAATATAGATGAGGTTGGATTTCTACTCAGACTTGGTCAATCAGAATAAGTTTTAAAAATAATTCGAGAATTTAGAGAAAGTGGACAACTGAACTATCATATCCAAAGTATGTTTTTTGTTTTTTTTTCTTCAATTATCATTATTTTACAACTAAATACTAATATTAAAATGGATAGCATACAAGAATTTATAACTGTGATTGAAGATATCTGTACTTATAAAACAGCACTAGATCCAACAATCAGATTGAAAGCAGAGGAGTTTGTATCTGAATGGTTCAGAAGAGCTAAAGGTGTGCCTGAGAATATTCTCTTCAGTCAGACATACAAAGAATACAACTATAAATAGATGGGATGAGAATACCTATGGAGAAACTTTAATTTGAGTAGTTTGTCAGTACAAAAGGCAGCTGGCGAGTTTCAACTTCTCCTATTCAATAGTCACAGCAGTCATGTCAATATTCAGTTTTTAGAATTCTTGTAACCGGTACGGGTACTCAGTTATAGGTTTTGTTTTATGTTTTGTTTTAAGTATCGCTTTGATACTTGGTTTGTTTTAAGTATCGTTTGATACTAGGTTTTGTTTTATGTTTTGTTTTAAGTATCGCTTTGATACTTAAGGATTTTTACCAAAGAGTATCAATTGATACCTTTGATTAGTTTCGTTCATGCTAGACATGAACAGATTAGTGTATTTAAAGACCGCCTGTTTCTACGATAGAAAAGGCAGACTTCGACAGACAGTATTTCAATATACTTGGTTGAATGGTTACTTCTGTGTTCCTCAGTACACCCTCGAAGCCTCCTTTAGTTCTCAGCTCTTGCCTCCTCTCTGGAAGAGCAGGCCACCTGCCAACTATCGTACCTATTACCGTTAACATGATTAGCACCTTGCGAACACGTTACAATTCTGTATTTCACAGAAGATTATTCCATACTACTTACCTCCACATACAACTCACCATTTACAGCCACTTAATGTGTCTATTTTCAGTTCTTACAAACATCATTACCAACAGGAATACACCAACAGGAACTAACTCCTGGTTTGAGTAACATGAGTATAGTCTCTCAAAGAAGAATTTCTATGAAATTCTCATGATTACACATCATGTATCCTTTAATTACAACAATATACAGAGTGGATTTCATAATACAGGACTGGTACCAATCAACTGAGATATTATCCTAGCCAAAATTCAGGCTGGCAGACTCCGATCAAATTCTCAAAGTCTAAATTCCACCAATTTCCAACACCATGAACTGCATTTCCCAGTAGTCAGTATTGAACCACTAAGTATCTTCTCAACTTAGGATATCAATGAGCTATAAATACCTCAAAATAGAACAGAAATTAAATAGCTAAAACCTATTGTACTTGCAATACTACTGAGAAATGACCCGCAAGAATGGAAACTAAAAAAGATTGTAAGTAATTTTCCAATTACTGCAGATGAGTTACTTACCAAAGTTAATAAGAAGAATTATCGTATCGAGAAGCTTCAAAAGCAGTTAGCAGATATTTGAAAGAAGAAAACTGCAAATCAAACCCAGATACCCACTTCAGAAAGCGCTTGGATTGATAAGAAAGACATTGTAAGATTCTTTGATCAAGATTTGTGAATATATACAGTAGAGGTACCAGAATGTGACCAATCTAGTTGAGATGAGAAGGTAAAAGTTAGTAGATGTTAGGAATGCCAGAACCCGATACCTAGAAACCAGTCTAAGTAGGGTAACCCCACTTGGAATCGGAATCTCTGGTCTCCAACACTCCCCTCCAGCTCCCTTACGGGGCCCGCGCATCATCACATATATCAATCTCAGTTGTGTCCTGTGACTACATTACCACAGAACTGAAGGTATTAGAATAACACCGTATACGTCGCCGCCGTCCATCCGACTGGATCCTATTCGCAGGATGTATGAGAGGGGACCTTCGGCTAGGCCTGGGAAGTGGATCGGAGTAATTCCGTCAACTACTCAGAGAGTTAGTAGGCTTCAAAGGTATGAGACCTTTGGCATGGGCCGTAGGTAATGGGACGATTTCACATAATGAGATGGTATCAAATAGTAAAGGATTTCTACTAGAGACTGATACAATTGCATACACCAGAAGAGTCTAGAACTCCAAAAGGCACTACCAAAGAAGCCAACGAACTTGACGGAGTGTTGCAACTGGGTTTCGGAAAACGTTGTAGTCAAGGGGTGATTCTCAAATACTATAATGGTTACTGAAACCTACTACCCAGAGAGCAACCAAAGGTTGCCAACCGAGGGATTAATTACCAGTCTAGTGGAGTGGCTTCCTGCGAGTGAATAGGAAGTCATCCAAAGAAAATCTATTGGTTGGGTATGGAGTTACAAAGGGTTGGAATCAAATGACCTACGATGGTTGTAATGACGACCACCTTTGCAGATATAGCCGTAGATAAGACTGATCATTTTATCAATGGCGAAGACAATTGGAGCCAACTCAGTTTAACTTAAGAAGTAGGCTATTAGTCTAAAAACTCTACTAATCGGGATATTACTATT